TAAATTTTGGTCTTGACAGACATAAGTTAATTCGAGATGGCGATGCGTGAAATACGGACCCCATTGGTGCTTTTACAGTAATATGGAACTCAACTCCTCCGAACTTTCTATTTGCAAGCAGACATTCCTCCAGAGCAATTTGTGAAAAAGACACTAGGTAGAAAGCCAATTCTTCCTGAGAATATCGAAAAAGAGCTGCTGGAATATATATTGTTGATGGAGGTCATATTTTTCTATTATAAAAGCATTTTTGCGATAAAATACATTGGAGTAAATAATTTTGTAATTATTTAACATTTTTTGTCCTTTCCTATTTGTTTTTGGCTACATTAAAGCATTTTTTTGAAAATATACAGTAAGGTTCCATATTACCACCCGATTTTCTCTAAGCCTACTTTCGGACTTTTTGTACAAAAGCCTTCAAAAACCATACTTATAGTTACACTAACGAAAAATCCAATTAGGAACATTTACTTTACTAGTTACCGGTACTTTTCGCACAAAAAATGTGGGTGTAATTATGATACCTTGTTTACAATTCACTAAAATGTAATTGGGGTTCCATAATACCACCTTCTCCTCTACCGTATTTAGGCTATTCGATTCTAAGCCGCACCTCAATTTCTCAACAAGTTTTCGTGAAAAAATGTAAATAAATCTTACTATAAGTATTTTTTAAAGTTCAAAAAATGAGAAGTAACGAGAAGTGAAGAATTAGGGTCTAATTTATTTTTAAAAAATCTTAATTGCGTTCACTATCACCATATTGTGAAAGTGATTCATCAGTAGCACTATCACAGTTGACTTTGGAACAGGTGTTGGCATCGTCATTTTCCCAAACTAAGTCGTCTTCTGTGCTCTTCGTTGTATTTGTACTGCAGAATTTTTTTAAAGGAATGAATTATTTCACTGGAAACTTTTCCACGAGAGAGATACCAATTTCGCAATTTTTGAAGCACTCTCTGTCTTTAATTTCTCAGAAGTGGGGTTTCCGAATGCAGGCCTAACCAATTTTCGTATTCTTTTCTTATGTAGTCCTTAAAAGGCTTGTTGATGCAAGCATTGAGTGGCTGAAGTTGCCTCGTCATACTGCCCGGAATTATCACCAATTCACAAATTTGTTTTGTTTCAATTTATTTTTTAGTTAAAACATTTCAACAGGTTAAAAACACTACAAAATAAGCGATCCAATATTATCCTATGGCAAATCGACGAATCGTTTCTGAAAAAGGATCCTGACTAAAAATTACTGGTCGGATGACGATGAAATTAGGTTAGGGAATAGTAGACATGGTATAGGATAGATTTAAAATACTTTAAAAAATTGTCTTTTCAGCTAAAATTTAGCCACCTTCGAATGTAAGTCGCAGATTCGAATGATTTTCGGAGACATTAAAATGGGGAAGAAATTGTGGTTTAGAATCGAATAAATACGATAAATTAAGTCAGACATAAAAATAAGTCTCTTTTAAAAGTACTTTCGAACATACAAAGGATCTCCTGAAAATAGCATTACCTTTTATTTGAGACTAAATACCACAAAATATGCAAAAATGTTAAAAGCTTCATCAAAAATCTTTTATCTTTTTTCAAATATACTAGGGGTGATGATAGTAATAAATATACGCCATTTGTAAGTACTGTACAAACGGCTTTCTGTAAATAAAAGTACTTCCTTTTATTACTTTACACCTTTAATTAAATCTACAACTGTAAATTTAGCTTTAATTTTTAGGCTAAATTTGGTGATATTTTGGTAAATTAGCTGGCAACATTTATTATCGTTCACCTCAATTTTATGCAATAGAGAAATAATGTAATATGTTCAAGTTGATTTGAAAACAAAACTCTATCCATTCAATCTGCAACCCAGAAACATTTCCGATTATACCGGCTAAATTGAAACCCTAAATTTTCTCGCTTTATCCAAAATGGCATGGATAAAGTCCGAATTTTAAGTCTTATTCTTGCTTCATCTATCCGTTTTTGGAAAATATAAGTTTCATTCACTTGTGACTTCATAAAGCGCGCTTCATATGAAGTTCAAAATTAGAACTTAGCTTTGTTTGTTGCTTAGACTTGAATTAACTGGCTAATGCTAACGTTATCCCAGCTTTATTTGATTCATGAACTTCAACCCTAACACGCTACATTAAATTTCATCAGACTAAACATACCGTATAGTACAGACATGGGCAAATGCAGCTCTTTTTGAGTTATATGCGGCTCTTCTAAAGTGTTAAAACTGTAAAAATAATAATAGAAAGCAGAAATTATTTCCGCAATTTTGTGAAAATATGTTTATTAAAAAATTCAATATTTGTTTTATATTATACAACATAACCTCGATTATCCGGACTAATTGGGAATGAAGGTCGCCCGGATAAGGACAAATTCGGATAATCGAAACAAATACTTTAATTTGTCTTTTAATGATAATACAACACATTTTCTTTTCGATGACATATCGGTAATATTAAAAATAAATACTGTATTTAAATCCTGATCAAATTTTCAAGAAACAAATTTTCGTATTGAATTTGTACTACTACTGACCAGCGCTAACAGACTACCTATTGTTTAAAAGGCTCTCTGGTGGCGCAAGAAGACGGATTTTATAAAATAAAAAGCAATTGAAACTGCATTTTTATGAATAAAAATTTGACAAACTATTTATCGACGAGCAAAACTTTTTCGTCGCGTTCGCGGCTTTTAAGTAATGCATAAACCTTCGAGGCGCGAGGCCCTTCGGACCGCGAGGCATAGGTGAGGGTCCATGTTGCCCATACGCCGCCCTTGGTCATAGAAATGATGTAATTTGAATATAAATTATTTATAAATACGTATGTCAAGTTAAATATATTTTGGGTCATAATAAAAATATAAGAATTTACGACCACTGTGCTGGGTGAGACGTTGTTGAAACAAAAAAAGTTATGCATTCCATCACGTACATAAACAGTATCGTAATTCGCCAAGTGCAAATCAGCAAATTCGTAAAATTTTTGTTTATTTTGAACAATCCGGATAATCGAAAATCCGGATAATGGAGGTCCGGATAATCGAGGTTCTACTGTATAATAAAATCGCAGTACAAAATAAAAAAGTACAGAACTGTGGCTCCCATGCATTTTGCAAAACCTACATTTCGGCTCCCACTGAACTCTTGCTTGCCCACCCCTGGTACAGTACAGTATATGAAATATTTGAAGTAATTTACGTTATTGTGAATGATGACTTTCATCAGGTCACAAGTGGATAAAACTGACATTTTCCAAAAACGGGATAGATGAAGCAAGAATAAGACTTAAAATTCGGACTTTATCCATGCCATTTTGGATAGAGAGAGAAAATTTAGGGTTTCAATTTAGCCGGTATAATCGGAAATGTTTCTGGGTTGTAGATTAAATGGATAGTGTTTTGTTTTCAAATCAACTTGAATATATTACATTATTTCTCTATTGCATAAAATTGAGGTGAACGATAATAAATGTTAATCTGGGGTTTCTTGTAAATTTATTATCATTATTATAATAGATTAATAAAAAAACTAAGAATTACGAATCTTCAAAAACTAAAAGTTTAAACAAATTTGATAAAAGTATCATCAAAATTCTAATTGGAATAAAATTACTTGAAAGTTCAAAATATAAAACGTCATATTATTACAGTGCGTTGTGCAGTATTTAAACTGAAAGTAAATGAACAAATTCGTTGTTTAAATTAATTTTAATTATGCTAACTTAAATGGCAAATAAATTAATTCAGCTCTCAAATTAATGTACAGTACTCAAGTTGTATCTACAACTATAGTGATCTCATTATCATCAATATCGTTGCAATTACTATAATTAACAGTAATTGTTACTAAATCCTGTATTGTTCGACATGATAGAAAATTATGGGTATATTTCATAATTTAATATATATACGTAACAATGATTTAGCTTTATTAAATTTTACATATATGTAATTTTATTCTTTTCTTGTTAACAACCATATAAAATATACACTGAGACAAACACGTTTCAGATTATTCTTCTTGGAAGAAAGTTTTCAAAATATATTTATTTTGAACAAATTTGTAGTGCTGTCGGAATGTTCATATATCTGGTTCACAAATTTAATATTTTTGAAGTTTCTGCTTGAATAAAATTTTTTATGCGAGCAAATATTTTGGGTATTTTCATACACTTAACATTGGCTAATGCGAAAGTAATAAAACGCATAATTAAACGCGTATCCTATATATTTTAACCATATTTTTTTCTGTGATTTTTATTGGAAATAAACGTAATTATGATAAAATTATTGGACAAAAACTAAAACAAATTGTTAATTATGCAATACGCTATATTCTATAAATATTTAAAATGCATTTCACAATTGTCATAATAAAGAAAATTAATAAATACAACTATAAAAAAATTATTTTCAACAGATGTTAATTTTTAACTTACTAAATTTCATAAATATTTCTCAAACTAAATTATAATTTAAGCCAATGTCAGTTTGCATAATTTTTAAACTTTTATTGCCTTATTTATATATACAGTAAATATAGTGAGGAATATAGCAATATGCATTACAGCTAAAAACGAAAGTTGTTTATATGGGATAATTTGCCTAATTTGTTCCAATATTGAAAAAATAATAATCCCAAAATTTGGCTAAATTTATAGTGGTTGTTACCAAGTTCGAAATATTAAAAACAAAAAAAAAAAAAATCGGACGGGCACATTTTGAATCCTCCATTATGAACAGAAGGATCACCCTAATATGCATATATTTATGCAAAATCATTCTCAATTCTTTATCGCAGTAATATTTATTCATAATTCAAGATTTTACTTTTAATTTGCCATTAAAAGAAAAATAATACTATTGCTAATCTTTCCATGAAAAAAATTTTGATTTTTTAATAAATTTTTCCAATACCCTATAAACAATTTATTTAGAATACATAATTAACAATATATTTCAATACAATACAAAATATGCACCTTTATATACCTTTATTCTTTCTCATGCAATACCATTTTACACAATATCAATGTAGTATATAATTTAACATGGAATGATTTTTATATTTAATATACCAATAATAATTTTTATATTTAATATATCTATAAAAATTGATGCAGAAAAGAACAAACAGAAAACTGCAAGATGCAAAATCCTATACAAAACTGTTTATTTAAACTTAACAATAAAATGAGTACATATGCTCATTTGATTGTATCATTAGAAGTTACACAGCCCAAATCTTGACTTATATAGTATCTTGGCAAGAGACGTCACTGGTATCCTTGTTGATAATTTGCAACAGGACGAGGATAACCGACCTGAGGACCACGAGAATATGGATTTGGTCCTCCGGATGTTGGCGGAGCAACTCCTGGAGTTGGAGACGGTGAACAGCCAGCGGGCGGAAAAGGTTGACCCTGTTGATATCCTTGACTTGTAGCTGGTACTTGGTAAGTTGATCCTCCTGGTCCAAAACTCTGAGAACCTCCAGAAGGAGCATTATAAGGTACAGCTTTACTGAAAAATAAAATGTTTTCAGTAAATAGTATTAATTAATTAATAATTGATATTTGAATATATAAATTAGTTAACTTTTATATAGACATACATTCTGAAGCTGAAATTTAAAATCTCAGCAAAAATTTGTCTATTGTTCCAGGAAACCTTGATAGACTGATTCTTATAGCTTGTTCAGAGAAGTAACAATTCACTTTTATAGCAATTAAATTTTAATTTTTTTTATTCTATTTCCAATGATTATATTTTTCTAGAACAAATATTCAAATTATAATGCATCATGATTGTCCTCCTACATATTAATTTCTAAAATAAATTTGTCAATGCATAAACTTTGACCAAACAATCAATTTTTTTAATTGCTTATTTTTTTAACTAACAGGATGAAACTATTGCAAAAAAATGCTCCTGAAATAATAATTAACAGAATAAATTTTGTTCTGTTAAAATATTTCATTTACAAGTCTTTGTGAAGCCTTTTGAATCTATTGTTACTTTTTTTTTTATTGTGTAGTTAATATTTTCAATATAAAGCTTTTTTGAAAAATTCATTAATTGAGACAATGTAGCACTGAAGCAATGAGAATGATTGATTTAAAGTATGAAATTATTTATCAAACAAAAATTGTTAGAAATGGTAAGAATAATGAAGGAACACACACACACATATACANATATATATATATATATATATATATATATATATATATAATTAGTATTTTTAAAAATGTTTTGAGATTTTAAAGATTATTCAATATTCTATTATTGAAATATTGTAGCTTTTGTATAATTTTAAAAAAACTTATTGTTAGTTTATCAAATTGATGATGGGAGAAAAGATGAATTAATATTTGGATAGAACAAAGATTTATTTTTGAAGGCTAACTCCAAATTATACATACTTTCATTTTTATGTTGACAGATAAAATTATGTTTTTCTATTTTACTCATGTACAATTTTGAGAAAATGAACAAATAATAAAATTAAAAATATCAGCTTTTATATACCCTCATCAAAGAAGATTATATCACAGTATGATAATTGCCATTTTGATTTAGATATTTTATGAAGTAACTGAAAAGTGTATTTAACTTTTGTAATTTTTTGTAATTAAAACAGTTTTTATCTTCACTATTCTTTCTTTTCTGGCACATTAAGGGTGGAAAAAAATACAAATTGCAGCATCCTGGTTGAAAACTGCTAACAGATTAAGTGCTGATCAGCACTGTAGCACTTACTAAAAGTATCAACAGGAGTTATGCATGTTATTATTGCACCTTGTATAAAGAATGGATGTCACAGGAAAAAATTACCAAAATTACTATTAGAAAAAGGTTGAAAACATTGTATTATGCAGATATAGAACAAAATATTTAGTATTCTAAGCAGGTCTGTTGAGTTGGTAAATAAACACTCTGTCCCTCCATAAAATGACTTGGTATTTAATTTTGCTGGTGTTGGAGTAGAGGTACCTACTCTGAACTCTAAAAGGAGCCTGGGGCCTTTACCGAAATACTTTTAATATTTATAATTCGTATAAAAATATTTAATTAAAATACTAATTATTATTTATNTTTGTTAAAAAATTACATTATTATAAGAGGAGAAAGGGGGCGATAAAATTCTACATCTACATATATTCGACAGCATTTGCACTTCAATTTCACCGTTCCAGAAGAGTTAGTCCAACTAAAAAATGTGCAATCTAGCTAGCTACTTCAGCTCCTTGTTCAGAAAAGAAAAATATGTACTATGATCAATTAGTCTAGCTCATTCAGAAAAATAGAGTACTTATTTAGAGCAGGGATAATAAAGGAATGATTCAAAAATATTCAAATTCAATTGGGTCAAAATAATTTAACTACTAAACACATACTACAAAGAATACTATATATTTAATAAATTAAATTGATGCATTTTGTATTTAAAATAAATGAATTATAATAAATTTCCTAAAATCTTTTTGTATTAGTTTTATTCATTTAAATAAAAAAAAAGTAAATTTAAAATGCAGGAGTTAGAGTTGTCACATTTTTTCCAAACTGACTCCACAGCCCTGATTCTAAGTAAATAAAATTTTTATTGAATAGCCCAGCAGTAAATGTAAAAACTGAATAGTGTTAACTTGAAAAAAGATCTTATCACTAAATTTTTAATATTTATTTTATCAGTCTTAAATAGTTCATCTCACTTTGTATAAAAAAATTGTTCTAATTTTATGATAAAGTCAATATGAATGATATTAATTCATTTGAATCATTGTTAATTATTGAGTTACAAAAGGACTTAAGCTTTTAGGTAACTATTTTGGAATAAAGAAAAATCTGAACTATAGATAATTAATTTTATTTTCATTTATCATTTTGTTTGCAATGAAAAGAATTAAACGTATAAAGCAGTTAAATTTTAATAAATTAAACTTTACAAAATTTTAAGAACTCCTATTCTGGTATTCCTGCAAAAATTAAGAATGTACTGAAGCAGTTTAAATTTCAGTCAAAAATCTTAAATTTCTTTGTTGTTTTGTCAATATCCAATTTCTAAAGATGAAACAATTAAGAAATTAGAAATACAAGACAACTATACTATTTTATCAATGATATCAGAATTAAATGTCTATTCAAAATTTTGTTTTATATTCTGCATCCCTGTGGCAATAATATCTGATCATGCAAACAAGGTTCAGAAGAAATTTGCAGTATAAAAATATGACAATAGCCACAAAAAATGTAGTAGTGTCTGAACTAAGCCTATAAATATTAATCGGGAAATTCACCAAAATATGAGAAACTTTTGTTTTAAAAATGAAATTCAAATGTTGTATACATGTTTCTGACCACTATAGTAAATTGTTACATTGCTGCCTACTTACATGATTATACACTGCAGTAATAATACATATAATATTTTAACAAAAAATTATTTAATATTCCATATAATATAACCCATATCTATTTCTTTTTCTGTAAAGTCTAAGGACTGAAGAGAGGTCATTAAGACCCAAAATGCATTTCCTTTAATAAGAAATACATAAACCAACTGTTCCTTGCATGATGTGTTACTGAAGAAAAAAAGCCACTAGCTTTTAATTCTTAAAATTTATATTGCTGTTTAATTCATAAACTAGTGCAAAATATTCACAGAATATTATGGAATTAGTTTAATGCAAAATTTTCAGATTTTTCCATAGTTTCTTCTACAAACTTGTTTTACAAATTTATCTTCATCAATTAGTACTATAAAATCATGGAATAACGACATGAGAGAATGCCACCTTTGGAATATCCAGATATATTTTAATATATTATTAAAAGTAAAGCCTATGATTACCAACAAATGCTTAATTATAGGAGTCTTGACACTTATAATTATTTTTTCAAGTGGTAAAGTAGGTGAAATTTTAATTAATTAATAAATCGTCACAAAACACTTGTCCTTAAGACAAATGTAGAGCCATCACAAACCCTATCTGTAAGTAATCATTCTGCATGGACTTTTGTGTCTTATAATGGCAAAGTTATTTATCCAGCTGGATGAAATGCATGGCTGGTTACCCATTCTCTTTTTACATTCATTCCCACTTGATGAAAATTTAACTAGAATGGTTGAATACATGGACAATCTTGATGCATCATGTTTTTGTGTACATCACATACAGCTTCAAACCACTTATAAAGAAAATTCTGGCCATTATGGCAACCAACCACAGCACGATATCTACTTGAACTGGTTTTATAAGGCATGTCACCAATAAAAACTAAAAATTGCAGACCTACACTAATGACTAGCAGTACTTAATGATTGCCAAGATATGCCCTCATTTGGCAAAATTCAAAAACACATTCTGGAAACTTGTGGACAGAGAAAGTAAACAATGCAAATATCCAAAAACTGTTTTTGGATTTTAGCATTGTTTACTTTGCAATGCAAAAAATTGTTACACCTTCAATATATACTGTAACTTGTTATTTACATGAATATTTTTACAAATATACTTTTTAAATGTGAAATTAAGAAAAAGAGTTTATCCACTCCACAATGGAATCCAAAATGAAATATTCCTTGGCAAAATTTTTATAAATCTAAATTATCAATTATAGAATCACTTTTCATGTTACAAGAAATAAAAGATTTCAAATTAAGACAGAAAATAATTCTTAAAAAGTTTTCAAACATGGAATATATAAATTCTGATTCAAGCTTTAAAATGGATATTTATGATAAAAACACATCATATCTAAGAACTATTCAATCTGCAGTTTTTCAACTTGTACGAAAACTTTCTGAATGAATTAACAGGTGAGGATTTACTGTAATATAGTCTGAATTTCAATAAACTGATTAATAATAATAATAATATAAAAGCTTGAATTTTAAGGTGAGGCAACACACTTCTGATAGTTTAAGAGAGAAATACAAATGAAGTATTTCTGATCTATTTCATGTTTATGGAACAAATAAGCCACATTTGCTTGCACCTTTTTAATATTTCTCTTTTTTAATGATTTAGTACTATTTCCCCCTTTTTCCTAAATTTTTCTTATCTTAGTTATTATAAATAATAGATCATCATAAATTATGTTTTTACAGAAAAACAACAAACTCATTTATTAAATATAAAGTAATAATTTAGTATTTTAATATTTGTGATTTACAATAATGTCAGAGGTTGTAAACCTATGAGATTGTATTTCTAACATTTTTTTCTCACCATTTTGTAATGCTGAAAGTGCCAAGATCTAAACTGTACAAATTGACAAATTCCTTCAAAGATGAATGTATTGAAACTGATGGAAATATAATTCAATGTAATATATGTGATTCAGTTTTGTTAGGTTATGACAAGCATTTGTCATCTCAAATGAAGCAACATGTGGAGAAATTGACATGTAAACATTATAAGGAGCTAAAGAGGTCATGTAAATGGAAAGATTTTATAGGAAATTCACTAAATAATGCTGCCAATCAATCAGGAAATAAATTCTATCAAGATCTTGTAACAGTTTTTCTGCAATTAGGACTACCGCTGTATATAAACAACTCATCATCGAAGAATTTTCTGGAAAAATATTCAAACAGACTAATGCCTGAAAAAGATATTTAGACTAGTCTACAAGCATGTTCTTGAAAAAAATCATTTGTATTGTTGATGATATTGTTGATTGTTTATTTCATTATAGACAAAGCCATGGATATCTAAAATGATTTGTTTTAAAATGCACCAGTCACAGGTGATCCAATTACTCCAATGCTCATCAAAATGTATAAACTACCAAAAACTAATGCCTCGACCATCATGCAGAGTTTCAATGATGTGGCCAGATGGAATAAAGTATGACCTTGTATGGGAAGTGGCAACAGATCAAGCTTTGTATGATGCAAATTAAATGTTTAAATTGAGAGTATATCATACATAGATTCACAAATTCTGTGTAGGGCATTTGTGTTGAATACAGCAAAGCCAATGACTTTATATTAGAGATGAAAAAAAAATCCCTTTAAAATGTCCATCTCATCTTCAGCTGTATAGAGAAATAATTAATTTAAAGCTTCTTCCTGAATCTATAATTATGTGATAGAAAACTTGGTTAGCTGCAGGTGCTTTCTATTATGAAAACTTTACCAAAATAACTGATTTCATCAACAAATTGGATTCATCTAGCTCAGCAGCTAAGAATCAGTTTCAACAGTAAAGAAACTAATTCTTAATAAAGATTTGGATGATGAGTTGTAGCTGTGCACAAATAGAAATTTTTGTATATAAATATCTCAGTTGGAAGAACAAAATTTATAAACATAGAAACAGTGAAAAATTTTCTGTAAAGTTCAAGAAAAACGAGAAGAGTTTGTAAAAAGTAAATTAGAAGCAAATATTAATAAATTATTTTGGGATTTTCTGCAATCAATACTGTTTAATTTTTATTAACTACAACATATTTTCTGTTTAAAGATGTACATTTTTTGTCTCTATTCTATCCCTTTTTTACAGTTTTCTTGCATCTTTAAAATGTGAGCCCTACTTATTACAATATAACATAATTTCTTCAAATTCTTAATTATAATAATATTCTAAAAAGTTTTATTAAAGAGATTTTTCTTTTTATAGTAAAATGAACTGGAATAGTGACATATTTTACATGCAGAAGTGATTTGATAAAAATTTGGGAAATACTGAATGTCAAATTACAATTTCATATTCAACATTAAAATAGAGCATTATAGTGTGGTGAGCACGTGGTGATGATTGAATTCTCACAAAGAGACAGGAATATAAAACAATAAAACGCGCTTTATTTTACTGTATGAACATATATACAGGAAAGGTTCGTTGATTCCGACCTCCTTGTTCCTCACTTTAATTAAACAAAAGGGAACAAACAACACCGATTGTTGATTCACAGTGGAGCTAGACTTTTCTTTCGCGTAACAAAGGAGACACTTAATTACTAACTTAAAACTACTTATAACTAGAAGAGGAAAGGAAGAACAAGAATTAGAATAGAATGGGAGAACAAGAATGGAAATTTCTAGTAAGGAACGGGTACCCGAATGGTTGACTGCGGTGGTGGCCACTAGATGATTTCGTCTTGGGATTCTTTTCTTCTATGGGGACGGAGCACATGCGAGGACCCAAAGTTCGTCCTTTAGTCTCGGCTTTACCAATGTTCTTTTTCTCTTCCAAAGCTATTTCTATCTTTAGTGTTCTTCGTAACCCTTCCGGCCGAAGCAACACCGATCTCGGGACCGCTCTCTCCGACGGTCTTTCCTCCTCCGGTCCAAAGCCAAAAGTGTCCTTATCGTTCCCCACTTGCCCTCTGGGCTATCTTCACTCCTTTGTCCCGAAATTGGGTCACTGACCACCCACATTCAGACGAAAGTTCCAGAAAGTATAGAAACAGAACAAAGAGAAAGGGGAATAGAATATTCTTATATCTACATATATAAAATAAAAACAACAAAAATATACTGGTGTACCACCACAATAGTCAAAAGTCAAAACAATAGGAAATAGAGACAAATACAAATGCTTTAAACTTAATATCATTTTATTGTGGATGTTCCTAATATTCTTTGTAAATGCTTATCTGTTATTCATAACATAAGCAAACTGAATTTGTAATTGTTAGTGTAGTAACTTCATAAAAATGTATATACTTTTTTAATTTTACACTTCATACCATGACAAATAATCTGGATTTGTTATAATACAAAGTTTAAACTTACTCACTCACACTCACAACTTTGTGTGTATTGTATGAGTCAAGTTACTACTCTAATAAATGAACTGAATTTGCAGTTGTATTCTGAAAACACCAAACTGATGAGTATTTATCAAGTATAGGATAGCATGAATTTTCAAAATGAACATAGAAATTTCAATCTAATATTTTATCTTTTTATTTCGATGCTGACAACTAAAGATGGGTATGAATTTAAATCAACATTACACAAAGATTTATGATCTTGATTTTGAAATCATTTTTTCCATGAATTTTGATTTTACATCCTATTATTGATGAAGAATTTGCATTAGTAACACACAAAATATATTTTGTTGCATAATGATAATTTTTTAATATGAAGTTCCCTACTTATTGAAGATAAAATTTTACAATCATTTTGTAAAATTTTGTAAACCAGGGCACATTGATATAAAGGCATTTATTTGGAATGGAAAAGCTTGAACAGCTTGACCAGAATGTGAAACAAGATGCTACATACTGAAGCCTTCATTATGACTGTGCTTACACGCAGTCAAAAAAAGATATAATTTGACTGAATGAAAGACAAATGGAGTGTTCCTGATATTTATTTTTAAAATATGTATCCCAGTTGGTTGTCTATAAACTCTAGGGAGGAACAATGTATTTCACATGCTTGACAGACATTTTTTCAATAGCATCTACCTAACAAAATTTCTTACGAATGTAAGACTTGATTTGTGTGCATACTCCATTTATGTCATATAACTGATATTTTTTAACATTTTCAATATTCTACAAAAAGAATGAACATTGGGATAATTTTTGATTTTAAAATTTTGTTAGACATCCCACAAAAAGAATGTGGTGGTGTGGAGGACAAAGGAAGGATGACAAAGAAGTAACCATAAAATCAAACAGGATATTTATTCAACTACAGCTACTTAGTCCTTCGTACACCTGGTTCGTTTACACTAAACACACTTGATCCCAAACTATAGTACGTGCACAAGTTCGAATCCGTCCGACAAAATTCTATATTTTCATAAATAGAACACGTGCTCGCGACAATAAAAAGATTATGGTTTAAGATACTACGACTACTTAAATCTACCTTAATCTAGCTTATATGCTAAGGAAGAAGGGTAAAGAAATTAAGAGATATGAAGAGAAGAGATAAGTATAAAGGACAGATTTTGTGGGGGTACCCGGGTAAACTTGGGAGTCTCCGATCTTCTCTATATTGGTACTTGAATTAACTCAATTTCCTTCCTCTTGATTCCGTCTCTTGAGNTAAAAGTTCTTGTATGAATTCTTAATATCCCGGACGAGCCCCAAAATTTGTAGGAATAGTGATTGAGATAGAGAACTAGAAATGACAATAATCCAGCGCGTTCTCCAGTGCCACGTGATTGTCCTTGATGGGTATATCCGTCAATCACTGCAGAATGGTTAAAATTATTTCAACTTTCTTCTTAACTTTTTAATATAGAATAATTATTAACACAGTGCACTCACTTTATTTTATGTTAGTGATCTTAATTATAAAACAAGGTTTATATACAATTAAATACAATGATTTTTGGATATTACTAAAGACAGGTGTTTTATAAAAAGTGAAAAGAAACATTTTTTTCTTCAAAAGAATTTTCTTTTTGTTACAAAATAAAAATGAGAATAAAAAAATATATTAAATGAAACTTCTTTTATACCATGAAAAACTAATACTCACTATTTTACTAAAATCTATGGCAATGTTTTTTTGATACAATAGAGATTTTAAAAATGTTTAAACTCAAAAACTAAAAATGGATGTATGACCTCAAAAATATTCAAGTATGAAAATCTTTAAGTTTAAATAAATTAATATTCACTACTTTATGAAAACTTAGTATAGAATATACATTAAAAATTAATTTATATATTGACAAATATTATTTAAAGATTTGTTAAAATAACTATTCTGGAAATATTTAAGAAAAATAAATATTAGTAATTTATATGTAAGAACAAACTGAATATTTTTAAGATACCCAGGAGGTGGTTGAGATTGTTGTCCATATTGAGGATGAGGAGAAGGTTGAGATCTCATCATTTGATAGCTGCCATAATCTTGAGGTGGAACAGTTCCTGCACCATATCCAACTCCAGATGAATGTGCCATGCTGCTAGGCTGAGTTGGCGGTGTTGATTGTGGCATTCCTAATTAAATATGATACATTAAATAATTTAAAGTATTTTAACAGCTGTCATAGACAGTAGAAAGTTTATTTTGTGTTAAAGAAAAACACAAAACTCATTCACTTATATTAACATTCAATATTGAACTATATTTGCATTTGAATAATAAATATTTTTATTTATCTTTGCCAAAATTATTAACAAGACACATGGTCAGGTCCAGCATGAACATTTATGAAATTCAATGCTTTAAGTGGAATCAAGTTCAAAAGTCATGCAAAGAGAAGAGAAAGGAGAAAAATAATAGAAAATAAGCATTATAAAATAAAAGCCAGTCTAAAATAATAGTGGTTCCAAGCTGTATGTACAAGATGATTCACAAGGGTATAAAAAGCATTTTAAATATAGTCAGATATGTGTTAACTATTTAAAATTTTGAAAAAACATTAAAAATAATTTAAACTAATTTGTGTAAATATTCAAACAAAAATTTCTTTATAAACTTATAATTATGTATAATATACATAACTACCTATGAGATATCATACACTATTTTAAAATTTCCTATTGTCCTTTCACACAACAGTTGATAAAATTTTGATTTTGTAGTTCTTCCAAGAAAGGCAGTGTACATTGTTACTTTCTCAGGTTTACTTCACAAGAAGAAAATACAGCTATTTAAGGAAATAAAAATTTAATTAATGGAGAACCTTGGATGGATCTTTATTTGGACCAATTTCATTAGCAAAGTAGCAGAAAGTAGTGTGTAAACAGAACATTTCACAGTCAAGATAGAAATACTGTTCTAAACACACAATTACTTTAATCACCAAAATTCCCTTTATAGAGATGAAGAGAGCAAGTTTATAATTATTATTGTAAGTTTGTAGTCTACTAAAATTATCTTTATTGAGTCACATGTCTTAATTGTCAACAACACTGATTAAACCCTCATCAAAATTGATTTGAAAGTATACTTGAGACTATAATATCAAAAATAACAAGAAAGAAAACTCATTTGCACTGGTAAAAGAGTTAAAGATGATTTTATTAAGTTTACACAAAGAAAAAGCTTTTAAGTGAGATTATAACTATAATTTAAAATCAACAAATAACTTATAGCAGTCATAATTTGCACTCTCAAACAGACTTTAAAACACAGATAACCTGCCTGCATGTTACTCACGGGAAATAATTTATTAGTATACTTAATTATTGTAAAGCAAAATATCATATAAATGTTAGTAAAAGTATTTTGAAATAATGATTTCCATAAAAACTATCAAACATAAAATAGGATTAAAATAAATAATCTGGTGAATACAAATGGCACTTTAACAAAGTATAATATTACTGTTTAAAATAATATTAAACTATTATTAGTCTTACCTGCTTGAGGATAATAAGGATGAGGCTGAGAAGTTGGTAGTTGTTGCTGTGAATACATTCCAGGTTGCTGCTGCTGCTGTTGTTGCTGCTGCTGCTGTTGTGGTGGAATTGCAGACTGAGGTGGATAGTTGCCATGATAGGAACCAGGAGGCATAGGTCCATGTTGGGGTGTTTGCGACTGTTGCTGTTGCTGCTGTAATCGTTGTTGACTGGCAGATGATCCCAAACTTGAAATACTATCTGGACTACCAGCTCTGCCTTCATCTAAAATTGAAAAAAAATTTATCTTTGCAATTATCATTATTATTATTAATTTTTAAATGATAATATAGTTAAATCTTTTTAATTCAAACACTAGGAAAATCCAATAAATGTGTGTGAGATTCAAATTTTTGATAATTGGACTTCGAACTCATATTTGAGTTATAAATAAACACTTGGCTTTATTTCCATCATTTTAGTTTATACGTGACAACAGCACATTTCAGGCATAAAGCCCCTCATCAGTCAACTTGTATTTTTTCGATGGTAGTATTAATCCGATGGGCTGGACACATTATTCTTTGGATGGATGTCGCTGTTTCTATAATTGAAGTTTTCTATGTTGTTTTCGAAACTGTGCTTTGCGAATATATTGGACTTTGAACTCACATTTGAGTTATAAATAAACACTTGGCTTTATTTCCATCATTTTAGTTGATTTTTGATAATTCTTTCTGAAAATTAAGCTACCATATTTTTGTGCATATAACCTGGGACAGCATATAACCCATAGAAAAGTAATGAAATAGAAATAAGATCTTTGTATAACCTCCATCTGAGGAGCAGCCAAGGAAAACATGACACTATTATATAGTTCAGAAGATACTACCTCAAACATTAAAACATTGTTTTTCTAATCCTCTTCATTGTATATGTAATGTAGGAATAATGTATTGAGATAGAGAACTAGAAATGCCAATAATCCAGCGTTTGTAACCGTCTTGATAAAATGATAATGTTCTCGCCTTCACAACGTCTTTTTGTCCTTTCTCACTTTCGCACCATTACCAATTGTCATCTTTCTCACTTCTCCCATTACTTGTCCCTCTCTCTTGTTCTCCTCGTCTCCCCCGCACCCCTTCGTAAATTTATTTTCTTAACAGTTTAGGAATGTTACTTGTCTAAACTCCACATGTAATTATAACAAAAAAAAACTGAATATTGAATGGAATGGTGAGAAAAACTTTAATTTGTATCTTGGGGACACACATCATGTTTCCAAGATACAAATGCCTATCTAATAACAATTTTGTTTTACCATCAATTAATGATAATAAAATAAATTCAGAAAAAATTTTAAAAATTTTAATTTGAAATTAATTTTAAAAATTTATTACTATTATTATATATTTTAAGTCTACATTATTATCCAACAACACAGAGTGAACAGTCGTGTCCTCAGCACTTATCTACTATGGAGAGTTCTAATTTTAGTTCAAATTAGTGATATTGTATGATTTCAAAAAGATTTCATGTTTACAAAAAAAAAATTTATCATATATCCAGTTAATTGCTCATTTTTAATTTCAATTTGTATTCAATAATCAGCTAATATAAGTAAAAAAGAATTTTATTTTATAAATATTATCGGTAAACACATATCTGTGATATAATTTATAATTATTATTTCTTTTGATAAGATCTGTACAAAAAATAAGGACTGAAGAGGGTTCATTTGGACTTGAAATGCATATCCACATCCAATAATAAAGCCTATATCAATAAGAGTTCCTTGTGTGATGTAAGGTACTGAATAAAAAGCCAAACAACTTTAGGTTTTTAAAAAATTCTACATTATCTTTCTTAGTGTTGAAATTTTTTCCAGTAGTATGTTTTAAGAGATAAAACTTAAAAAAGTAGAATTTCTAGTTAAACACAAAACTCTAAGAAATCACTTAAAATAGCCAGAAAAGTAAAATTAAATTTTATTTTAACATACCACAGGAAAGTACTGTAATCATGTCAAATTGACCCTCAGGTTTTTACTTTTCTGGCTTTTATAGCTTAACACATGAATGTAATTTAAAAAACATCCAGAAAGTTGTTGCTAGATGTTTTTTTAAATTAAATTTCTGATTATTATATCTTATCTTACTAGGATTTCAGATGTTGCAGATTTTTTCCAACTGCCATCTAAAGGCATTAGATTTTATTGTAGGAACAATTTTTAGAATAAAATATCCTTTTCTTTTCCTGCATTTTAAATGTATTTCTGTCACCAACAGAGTAAAAATATACATCTATTGTATGTCCTGAGTTCTACTCAAAAGATATTTTGGAAATCATTTTGTCCCAGATTTTATCCCCAAGTATCTGGTAACTATATCTTACACTAAAATTAAAAAGTCAACAAAAAACAACCACCTCAGACTATACAACAAGCCACAATTTTACTTATAGAAAAACTAACATATACAGTAGTGTTAAAAGTCCATATTCAGCTATTGAAAAATGGATATTAATGCCTTTCAGAAGTAACTTCATTGGTGATGTTCTTTTGGCCTTGCATTGTTGATATTCTAACATTCATTAAGAATTTTTTAATTTTGAAATTATAATTAGTAAATATTTTGTTTAAATATAATAATTCTGTAAATTATATTTTGAATCTTTGCAAGTATTCCTACATTCTTTGTGAAATACTTACTTGAACTTATTTAATGCTTAAAATGCTGATTTAACACATATATATTTAAAAACCCACACAAACTGGAAATCTGGATGGGATCCATTCCAAATTAGTCCAGATTTTTAATGTTTCACTACAATTGAAGTGGCCAGCATGGATAAAAGATAGGGAACAATGCCACTTTTATTACTTATGTATAGGGAATTCGATCCCGGTCCTTATTTCTAATCCCGGGATTTCGGGATTATACTTAGTCAATCCCGGGATCATTTCGGTATTGAGGGTTAATAAAAAATAAGAAAATCTTACAGAAATCAACAAATCAAAATTTAGACAAAAATCAACGTATTTTACGGTATACACCTAGCTAATTTAGTCACTCTAACTAATCAGACTTAGAGTTAGGCTAAGCAGACTTAAAATCACTCCGTCTTCATGTTAAACATCACTGAGATCTCTTTAAACTCACATAAATTGAAAAAACCTTTATGTAACAAACTATGCAAATAAACGTTGAAAATTAACAAAAATCTCTCTTAACATCGACTAAATAGACTACTTTCATATAACAACCTAGTAAGTAGGTAGTAAAGTAAGTTTCTTAGCAAAAAGTATTTAAAAATAATATTAATCAGTCACATTTTTCTTAAATATAAAGAAAACTAATCTAATAGGAACATTCTAATTTGAATTGCGAAAATATGATCTGAGAAATAACAACGCATCCAGTGTCTCATCACCAAGTCTGCTTCTCAATTTGTTGCACATATATGCAGCTGCTGAGAAAACGCGTTTAGGTTTGATGGAAGTTGGAGGAATCGTTAGTAAATACTTATAAGCTTCGAGGACACGGGGAGGATGGAAGAAAACAGTCCGGTCGACACGGATCGGGATTGTAGGAGTAAAGGCTACAATCCCGATTGTTTCGATCATTGTAAGCATGTCTTTCTAAAAATAAACGCGTTAATTTTGTAAATTCGGTCTCTGTGTGAGTCTCTCAGCGTCCAGCAAACCACTACCCCGAAACGTAAAAAGACTTTCTCGCATCATCCTGACAGATCGCGGGCAAGGCGAGGGTCGTAACCTTTTCACCTAAGGTCGACCCCCCTAAGCGAGAGGCGTCGGGTCTATATTAACCACACTGGCAAAACAAGATGGCTGACACATTGACAGGTAAAACGCACTGAGTAGTGCTCTCGACTGCGCCAGAAAATCGATTGGCGCCCGCGAAAATTCAAAAATACAAAAATGAAGTATATTACCAAGTAACCCAGTGAGAACTGCTTGCCTATCATTTTAGTTGAAAATACAAGAAGTTTTATTCCAAGCAAGCATCGCAAGCCCGCTAGGTTAATTTCTGCTGCTTGCTTGGAATAAAATTTCTTGTATTTTATATTAAAATGATAGGCAAGCAATTCTGTTAAAAGCACTGGCACTGAACGTTTCGCTTCATGCAGTCTATTTTGCAACTTTTTTTAAAATAATGTCAATCCAGAAAATCTCGGGATTAGGAAAACTTAATCCCGAAAATTTTGGGACTGAAAAGTGGTCGGGATCCCGATTTTCGAGATCCCGGGATCAAATCCTCTACTCATGTACTGCTCAAGATAAATTATGAAAATTAGAATTGAAAGTTAGATCCCTATAGCATATACTGATACCATACTGTGCTACTTATAGAATGGAAACAAAACAAAAATAAACTAGCAATGAGTTGCTCAACTTTCCAAGCAACATTTAAAATTTTGGTGGCACTATCTATTATCATATTTTATTTAAAAAACTGTTTATATTTTAACTATTATAAAATGGCAAAAAGCTTAATTTTAAGAGTAGGAATGGGTTTTTATTAAAAAATTGTAAATGCTAATAAGAATTAAAAGCATCATTAAGGCCAACCCTACTGAAGATACATATGACTCCCATTATCTCCCCACCCCCTTCACATTTAACCACCAAAATTTAACATCAATCCCCTAAGCCTAATAAACAAACTTCCCTGCAAAATTTCAGAAATTTTTGACAAAAAGCACAGGAGTAATTAAGCTTCAAAGAGGATGAATAAAATTGTACCCTACCCATACACATACTAACATTCATACATACAGAAATTATCCCCAAATTTGTTTTTGCATTTCGACGTTTTAAGATGTTCTAAGTCCAAAAATGTAAAAATTTTGGAAGGTCTTTTTTTGACCAATACTTTCCTGTTATATAATAATGGAAAAGTAAAAATGAAATCTATTTAAATAATTAAAATTTTCATAGCACTCTTTTGAAATTACATATTTTTAGTATATGCAACCAGATCAATTCTCATGTTATAGCTAAATGATATATTGTTCATGTTAGTTTCTTTGAATTTGTTTAATCTAATTATTTATACCTATCAGAATTTAATTCATTTAAGAATTAAGAAAAGAGAGTTTTATTTAAATGTTGATAAAATACTTCTGACTTCAGGAAAGATTTATAAAATTTTTTTACCATTATCAAATAGTGCTTTAGAATTTAGAAATATAAATCAGAAGAATTTAGAAATATAAATCATATGTGTTAATATTAAAATATTATAATAATAAGTTAAAAACATAATATTTTAAACTGTTTTACATATACCTTTACCTTCTTGAATGCCAAATGAAGATGCAACTTTTTTTTCATCATTATTTTGCTTAACAGTCAATGGATCAAATTCTTTTGGAACTTTACCTCCATTGGGAGGAACTGTTGCAGTTGCTGCCTCACTTTTTGAAACTATAAGAATAATTTTAAATAATTTAGTTAATACAATGTTTTAAATAAGAATTCTAATAAAATATGATAAATAAACCTGATACTTTAAAAATATAAAAATTTACTTCAATGAAACAGTAAATCATTAAAACACATTATTATAAAGATTTTAAAAGAAACTTTTCTTTTAACCTGATCATAATCATGAAATATGTATTTCCCGATTACAATTGAGTTAAATAGTTTGTTAAAATTTTTGTTGAAATACATGAATATAATTAATTAAAGGAAACCAATTTAACTTTCTCTAATTTAATTATTATCTGAACTGATACAATAGTAAATTACATATATAAGGTCTGATCAAAAAGTATCCAACCTGAGGTCAGAAAAAAAGCGTATGTATCTATTTGGTTCAAATACTACTTCCTTTCAAAGTAGGGCCCTTCTGAGTTCACACACTTCTCCCAGTGATGCTTCCACTGTCATTTATCAGGATCTCCATCAGGCACTTCATTGCATTAATCTTGAACTTTAAAGCATTTGAGATTAGCAACTCAATGCTTCATTCAACTCAATGCTCACATCCAAGTCATTTCTTCTGTTGAATTATGCTTGTATGTTTTCAGTGCTTTTTTCACTTTAATTTTGGTTATATGTACTATATCGTATATTGTGTGTTATTTGTCAATTTTCAACAATTTCTTCCTGAAATTTTTCTTTGTCAACAGCTTTTGGGCACCCTATATATACACACACAAATGTATATGCATTACATATATGAGGGTTGTCCCAAAAGTAATGCACAGTTAACTCTAACTCGAAAAATATTTATTGAAGAAGATACAAGTGATTACAGGCCATCAAAATAATCCCCTCCCTTATCAATGCATGCTTGCCAGTGGCGCGGAAGTGCTTGGATTCCGTTCAGCATCCCCTTCTTATTGTGCATCTGAATCCGTCGGGTCACTTCTCTTTGAAGCTCTTCCAGCATCAGAAAACGCACCCCCTGAAGGGGTTCCTTCAGCTTTGGGAAGAAATCAAAGTCAAGTGGGCTCAGATCAGGACTATAAGTTGTATGGTGGAGCTGTTCCCAGCCGTATTTTTTGAGTTTGATGCACTGATGTGCAGCATGCATTATCATCTAGCACTTGTGTTAAAATATGATGCGTGCTCATTTCCAAGATTCCTGTCTTCGCCTCAATTTCTCTTACTGTGATTCTCCGGTTGCAATGATTAAATGTTTGTGCAATGTTTGTGTTGTCAGCTGTTACAGTAAATGGCCGCACTGCACATGGATCATCTTTGATGCTTGTTCAATCTTCTCAAAACTTCGTGTGCCACCCCTATACTGTGCTACGATTCACAGTAAACCTTCCACATGCTTCTTTTAATGTGGTATGAATTTCAGGCACTTTTTTTACCATACACTGTTTCGATGCAAATATACACACATTGCTCTATTGCGGAAATTTGACCCGATGGACTGTTCTTGTTGCCTTTAGGAATTTTTGGCATTTTTTCCTTTAAACAAATCCTACCACCACATGATACCAATGTGTTCATAAGACTTCAATCTACACACTGAGCTTCAATCAGCTGTCTATGTTGTCTACAATGCCCGCTAGAGCACGTTGTGCATTACAGTCGACCCCCCTATAAGATAGAGATATGTTCCATTCTCTAGGAATCCGCTTTCTTACGAATCCTTCCAATCACAACCCGACACGTATCAAGTTTACGGACTACGGCTGTTTGAAAGATTTTCTTCCATAAAATTAATCGATTCTAGACTAATCCGACTCAACATTTCCAAAATACGTATATATTTTTTGGGAATAATCCGTATAAACTACGCTATAAACAAAAAATTGTAGGATTACTTACCGAGTGTCACCATTCGACATTGCCATTGCTCAACATTGTTTTCGTCGCGGAACAGCTCAGCAAAGAGCGGCCGATTTCTAACAACTTATTTTTCTGTGAAAACTTCGTAGAACTTCGGAGACATCATTAATATAAATAATTTTAATCGCCGTTGAATAAGAAATGTTTCTTTCACAAGAAATGTATAAAATTACAGTACTGTATTAGACTTACGGTACCTAATTTACATACTGACAGACGATAGTTAGCGTAAAAATCTCCGTAGCGTGGCGCCACGCTAGACGGCGGAAATTATATATTTAATTATAACAAAGTTACAATAAGTTAATATATAATTATATATACAGTACCTAATTTATATATAATTAATATATAATTATATGTACAGTACCTAATTTATATATAATTTATATAATACTGTCCAGACGATAGAAATCTCTCCGTAGCGTGGCGCTACGGACGGCGGGAAAGTAGTTCGGCTTCCCGATGACGTTTGAGGTGTTTATAGGGAACTTTTACTATTTTTTACGGATACCGGTAGCAATTTTTTCGTAGTTTTATAGGAATCGTAACTATAGGGACCGTAATTATAGGGGGTCGACTGTACTTTTGAGACAACCCTCATATATGCATACACAAATACAAAGATAAGCAAACATAAATTGCAAAAAAAAACTTAACATCATACTCAGTGTGTCTTTGCAAACATAAATTATTCTAACAATGAAATGATAAGGCCAGATTGGACTAGAACTCAGCTAATTAGTTTCATAAATACTATTTTATTTGGACTAAAGGATGATTAAGCCACCATTTTGTATTAAATTTAATAATAATAATAACTCACCCATGGTTTCCACCTGGTTGTGGTGGGAGAGCCCAGTAATTTTACTGATCCATAGAGTAATGCAGGCTGGGGCATAAGCTCCTGGCAGGGACACCCATGACAATAAGGTCTAGGGGAGAAATAAAGCTAATAGTGACCACACGCACATTCTGTGGAGATATTTATCATGGTAGTAACCAGATCTAAGTAGTGATACTGGCTTGGATGTAGCCTGGGTTAACAAGGTCCGCATTTGTGGGTTAGGCAGAGACTTGCATTTGAAAAATAGGCCACAGTCTCCCTTGGTTACCAGTGGCAAAAGCAGCACAGACCCAAGCATGGCTACTGCAATGCTCTCAACAGATGTGAGGAACAACCTAACCTTTGTGTTTCTGTGGCAATGCACAAAAGCTGGAAAACCATGCCAATGGATGAAATGGACATCAGAAATGAATGAGTTTATCATCCATACTTACTACACTGTCAGGATGAAATAATCTAGATGTACGTTTCCCGCCCTTTTTGTTTTCAAACGAGCAACGGTCGTTTGAAAACAAAACTCAACACTGTAGAAGCTTGGATCAAGTAGATTTGGTAGATTAGAACTGGTAGATTTGAATCCATGATCGCTGATTGGTTAGCCAACATCATACGATCAGTGGATGCCAGACAGCGCTATGAAGTGCTGATTGGTAGATTAGCGTTTGCTTCAATCCATATAAAAGGATTGGATTTAGGCAGGAGAAGAGAGTTTGTCTAAGATCTGTAAGGAAACTCAAGTTGATCTGACTTCGCTGAGGTTTGTCCAAGTTTGTCTAGCTTCACCTAAGTTTGCCTAAACTTGTCTAGTTGAGTTGTTTGGTCAAGCAGACTTACTGAAGAAGGTGGTTTTGTCTTGCTGTGCAGTAACGAACATCTGAAGGAATACACATCTATCTATACCTGAGGAATACATTGCAAGGTGCTCTTTTCGACAGACCTGTTGTGGAATTAATTGGCTTTTGGACTTTGATTTATTTTGTATGTGAAATCTACGTTGTAAATATCCTAAATATTGTAATTTGTATCTCTTGTGAACATTGTAAGTGTATGTAATTTTATTTGTTATTATGAACGTTTTGTGAACTATGAACAAAGTGATTTTTGAACTTGACTGGCGCAGTCTCGACAGGATATATATAAGGACCTTCAATAAGTTCTCGCTGTTTTTTTGTGAAAATTAACACTTTATTTATAAAAAGTCGTAATAAACACGTCACTGAAAGTATTGTCCATCACTAGCCACTACTTTCTCCCATCGTTCTGGCAGCATTTGAATTCCATGTCAGAAAAACGACACGTTTTTTGAAGCTATCCAAGAATCAACCCATTTTTTGGCATCTTCATAAGAACGAAAGTGCTGCTCAGCCAGGCCATGTGACATCAATCGGAACAAGTGATAATCGGAAGGGGCGATGTCTGGTGAATATGGCGGGTGGGGTAGGACTTCCCATTTAAGCGTTTCCAAGTACGTTTTCACCGGTTGTGCAACATGTGGCCGAGCATTGTCATGTTGCAAAATCACTTTGTCGTG